TCTCTAGAAAAGTAGATTGAAAAACTGATATAACCAAGATCCAGCAATTAATTTCATCTTTACGAAATAGTAATGTGGTTTAAATTACCTGCTCAAAAACTCAGGGAAGTCCACCCAACTTCTTATACCGAGTAAAAAAGTTCACTTCATATGTTAGAAATTGATCTGGCTATCTAATTCACTTTCAAAAAATATCAATACGAAAGAATATCGAATCATCACAAGAAATTGGAGCAATAATGATAACAGTGCTGACATATTTATATCTTCGTCAGCACCATGCTTAATTAGTGCTTGGTGTCTGATTGGGGGTCTTCTTGCATACGCGGCGCTGGTGGCAGCCTACGCGACCGCGCCGAGGCTGGGCCCGAGTTGCCGTTCTCGCGCCAGGGCAGAGTCAAGGGCCAGGGTCGTTTGGTCCATGTCCACGCCGCCACCTAACCATTGCCAGGCGCCCGCGTCGTGGTCTCCCACAGCGCGATGGCTTCGACAACTAACTGGGGTGGAGGAAAGATTTGGATTAGATTGAAAACCGAATTAAACCTTAGAATAAGGAAACCATTCTTCTCCTATTTTGATGCTGCTGGTGGCCGCTGCCACACGACAAGGTATCTTCAATTTCATCATCAGCATGCCCCTAATGCAGAGTTCTGAAATCAGCACGTAAGCAAATTTTCTTGAGTGGGAAACTTTCAGTGCACAGAACATTCAGTGCAATGCACACAGAACTGCAAGCGCAGATGCAGTAAAGGACATGGGTGTGCACATGTACGCATGATAATCTTTGAAAGGGAACGAAGTTAGCAAGCATAAATACATGTCCGACCACCTTCGTGTGGGCCGACATCATGTTGCAAGGGTGATACATCTATGTGATGTTATTAAAGAATCATCTTAACCATTCTCTACATTTATGAGAAGGGGATCATCATCGCCACCACCAGCTATGACTGGCACTGCTGAGAGTTGCCATGATGCACTCTGTTCCCATCATTACTGCATCAAAAAAGACACTTTGATCATCAAACCAAGAGGTACGGTGGAACTAAGATGGTTAGAAAAAAAAGAGATAAGCATATACAAATGCTTACTGTTAAGCTACCAAGGCAGCCAGGAAACATCAATATAGTTAGCGTCTTTTTTCTGATGTAACGATCTGCATGGCATATTAGTTGGAGACAGGGTATAACGTTAACTCATTATCGTATTCGTATTGTTCCAAACTAAATCATTGAAATGATGCAACGGTTTGCATGTTGTGTTAACTGCAGACAGGGTACTGCTCACCTGCATTTGCCACACCATTGTACCTACACTGAATCACCCATCTTCAACACGTCAGCCACTACAGTACAGAAGGCTGCAATCGTGATGTTTGAAACATCAATATTACATAAGTCTATAATAAAGATTCAAATCACATGCACATTTGAACTTTTTTTCTTCATATTCAAGCCAACTAAATCACATGCAGCCGAACTATTGTATTCATAAAGGTGAATTCATAATCACTGGAATGGTATAACTGAGACAGTGCACAGCTGCCCACTTTGCGTGCTCATTCAGAAATAAATTAGAACATGTCAATTTGATATTCTCGATTATCTATTATATTCTTGTTCACATCATAAAAAAGTGGTCATTAACCTTCACAATTTGCGTGTCAAGTAAGCAACTTCTAGCTTTGTGTCGTGACCGTCAGTAAAACATAAGTTCGGTGACTTACTGCCAAAAGAAAACTGACATATCTGGAAAAAAAAACTAAGCACATGAACCTCATCAAACTTATCTGCTACTGCATAGTGGATTCAGAAACAGGTAAGCACACGGAAAAAAAAGCTCTGAGTTTTCCCTACCTAACCATATCGTTTAGTAACTGATGGATGAGCTTTCTTTATTTATCTGATATGCTTTTAAGTAGCTGATGTTCTTCTGTTTATCTTGGACAACTCAAGACATGTACTAATTCATGTAATGTAAATGTGCAAGCATGATCTATGACTAAAAATTTAGAACAAATGGAGTACTCTTAATTTTATCCAATATTTATGTTTTATCATTGTTTTTTTCTTATAAAGAAGCCAATATAAAATCATGCTAAATAATTAATGTTTATACTTTGGTTCGAGAAAAAAAAATGTTTATACTTACATGCATCTTAGTTGAATATAACATGAATAGAACACTTGCAGAAAGCTCAAAAAAATGGTGTACAATAGGAAGATGTTACTGGAGAAGATGCAAGCTCATGCAGAACATACTGCAGATACATACATGTATACATTCAAACAGTGGGCAAGCAGGAAGAAAACAGTAATGGAACTCTCAACTCTGTAACATTAATCTTTATAAACAGCATGTGACAATTAGTTAATCGCAGAACATTACCTCTGCACAGTCATATTCTTGCAATCTCCGGTCAACTTTCTCCACATCTCTGCAGCTTACGCAAAATTGTGTCGACTTTATTCCTGCAAGAATTATATTCACATTTCAGATTTATATTCAAAATTCAGATTAAATTATTATTTGAAACTTGATGAAAACAAGAAACAATAATATTTCAAACTTCTTATCGTTACGATCAAAGAAGAGCCGACTACAGCTTGCATATCTATATAATATTAGAACCCAAAGAAGAAATGTCATCGCGTATCTATATGCTCAGAAGCACCATTGAAGAAGCAAAGTTCAGATTTCGGCAAACTGAGCAGTCATCTCTAGATAATAAAAGGGGTCATCTCTACGACTCTACCTGGGAGCCGCGGAGGTCGGGTGCAGCGTCATCCAAGAGCTCCTTCCGAGTGAAGACCATGGCGAGGAAGATGTTGTCAGCGTGAGCAATCCGAGAGTCCGCCGTGATCGATGACCAGATGGAGGCCGTGATTGGACGCTAAAACGGAGAACACTTGTAATTGGATCAGATCCCAATAAACATAACCTGCAAAGCAGATCAAAGCACACACAACTGCAGGCACGCATCCAATAAAGGACATTTGGTGTGCACATGAACGACTGATAATCTTTGAACGGGATCAAAGTTAGTTCGCAGCGAAGAGAAGGGGTGGCATACCTATTGGGCGCTCGTTTCTAGCTAGCGATTGGCGCCCGGCGGCGTGGAGCAGCAACGGCGCGAAGCAGCGAGCCAACGACAGCAGGGCAGGTCGTGGAGGTGGTGGTGTTTTCGGCGGCGTGGAGGCGGTGGCGCGTCTAGGCGGCATCGACGGCAGGGCAGGTCGTGGAGGCGGTGATGTTTCCGGAGGTGAGGTGCCGATGCAGGCACCGCGTGCATGACGCTCCTGGTCGCGACCTTGGCGTGGAGGCGTCCGACGGAGACGAGGCACAGCGATGTGACGGAGCGATGGGCGCGGCTCCTCGCAAATCTGCAAGGGGTGCTCGGAGCAGGGGCGGGGCGAGGTGCGTGTGCAGGTGCGGAGGATGGTTGTGAGGCGACGGCGACACCCCCGTTTCCCTTACCGAGCAGCAACGACGGGCGTGGGGTCCCGAGTTCCTCCCGGGGTGCGGCGACGGTGTCCCCCTGCTGCTGTGCTCCGCCATGGAGGTCCGCTATGAGGCCCATCGCAGCGCGCCTCCGCGAGTGCAGAGCAAGATCCGAGTGTGAGAGGGAAGGAGAGAGAGAGGGAGAGGGGGGGCGGCACGGGGGTGAAGCGGAGGGCGTGTGGTGGAGGTGGCGGACGGCGCTCGGGGAAGAGGCGGACAGTGTGCGATGGAGACGGACGACGACGCGAGGGATCAGATCGATCGCGAGAGGGAAGGAGAGAGAGGGAGAGGGAGGGGCGGCGCGGAGAGGGATCGCTCGGAGGAAGTCGCGGTGGCCGGAGGGAAGTCGCGGTCGCAGGAGGTGAAGATTTGTTCTTTTTAGTCGTAGAGACACATGCCGCATGTAGTTTCAATCATTCAGCCATGGGTGGACTCAATCTCAAAAAAAAAAGGCCATGGGTGGACTCTGAAGAAACAGAAAACGTCGCTACTGGATATAGGTTCCTGCTTTTCTTTCTAGACCAGAACATTTTTAACACTAAAGTAGCCGACATACAAGTCATTCTTCCAAAAAACATTCCTTCGTCCTCGTACTATCATTTTACATGAGAAAATAATACGCACACAGGGTGAGCGGGCCATCGCCGCAAGATGATTTTATTTCATTTTGTTTATGGAAACGGAGTGACGGTCGGTCCTCGTCGGTGTCGGCTGCTGAACCGTGCGGTGCTCTGCAGTTGTGGTTCCGTACTGGTCGTGCCCTCAAGCCCAGTCCAAGGCAATCAGACCAGGTACGGCGTGTTTGGTACAGACAGCGAAAAGATTCGATCAAGCTGATCGATGGCCGACTCGTTAATTAATGTACGATGAGCAGGAACAGAGCAACCGGCCAACTCGGCGAGGATTACAGCCAAATGCACCGCTGATTAGATGTGGTATACTTATACATCTCTGAACAACGCTAGAGCAGTTCAGAGTATGGCAGTGACAAAACCTTACATCTCTGAAACCTGACATCAAACTTGCAACATATGTCCTTCAATCCATGGTTCATCAAATTAAGTTACACACAAGTAGTTCAAATACACAAGCACGAAACTTCACCTAGAGGTGAGCTTGGTTCTTAAGAGTAGTGAACAATCCAAGAAAATTTGATACAAGACTCACAGAAAACTGAACGATACAATAGTTAAAACAGAGCACCATCTGAAAGGTAAAGGTAAAACGAATGGCAGATTCAGGCTCGATCACATTCAATGAATCAAGCAGAGCACCATCCTGCACTCGCTTTTGATGGATGTTCCCCTAGATAAATAAACAAACAAAAATAGCAGGACATGAGGCCACGAGAAATGTTTTACGTACTACATATGAAGAATATAAATGTACCCCATATTTAGTACAGAAAGCAACAGAGTAATTTTCAAATAGGAAATTGTGACTGATACCTCTTGCATAGGTAATGAAATGTCGTGATGATAACATTTTCCCATCATCGTCTAGCTCTCTTCCTCGTTGGTGTCATTCTCCTTCTCAAACTCTTCCTCATTGGTGTCACTGTCTTCCTCGCCCTCTTCCATTTCTCCTCGGATAATTAGCCTCGGATCATTGGAGTGGGCATTTGCTTCATTCCTTATGGCTGCTGCTGCGGCCCTATTTTCTGAAGATGAGGCACAACCATAGGCAACAAGAGTGATTGTAGCATGTTTCAGGCATGGGAGGTGGCTAATGCCTAAGTAGAACCCATTGGATTTTGCCCATGAAACTAAGAACGGCAGGTCAAGCTTCTCAAGCTTCGGTAGCGCCCCTTCCTCAAACAGCAGGTTTATCGCACGAGAATTACGGTAAATGTAGAGTTCCTTCAAACAGGGGAATCCATGGCCTCTGATGGTAAGTCTTTCTTCCTGGTCAGTTTCGAAAGTTAGCAGCAGGGAAATTAAGGCAGGTATCTCTCCAAGTACGCCCAGATCCTCCTCCGTTGCTTTTACTAAATTAATGTTTAGGTATGCCACACTGGCGAGTGCTGGTGTGATCCAATTTGGAATCTTCGGTAAATAGTAGTTGGTGGTCATCTGAAATCTCTGGAGGGAAGATGGCAGAGGGGACCAAGAATCTAAAAACTGGAGGGGTGTTGGATCACGTGAAACTATCGATAAAGACTGGAGTTTGCAGCTGCCAAGCTTGCATAGTGAGAAGAGTAACATCTCTTCGTGCCTCTTATATTTCTCAGATCCTCTACCGTCTAGCTGTAGATGCAATTCATTCAAACTGGTTAGGTTCCCAAGCTCTGCCGCAGCACCTAATGAACTCTTGGTAATATTGAAGCCTGTGATAACCCTCAGGTTACTCATGTTTCCAATCCCATCGGGTATCTTTATATGGCCATCAAGAGAGGCAAAAGAATGAAATGTTCCGAGTAGATATTGTAGTTTAGTGAGCTGAACAATTCTGGATGGTAACACTTTTATATATGTACTGGTAAGATCCAGCGTCTCCAGATCATAAAGCCTCACAATTCCTGAGGGGATCTCTGACATATAAGTTCCCCTTAGGCTCAAGTACTTTAGCTGGAATAGTTTATCTATACCATTCATATCATACTCTTCCAGACCCTGACAACCTTCAAAATCCAGTACACGCAAAGTTTCAAACTTAACAAGGCTAGGCAAGTGTTTGATGCAACTTGATGTTATTACTCTTAGGGATCGGACATGGCTTAGATCTTGATTTTCCAATACAGACACAAGCTGCTGATCAATGTGTTGGACTGATAGTCGACGAATAGCACCATTGCGATTTACCAAATCAGTTTGCCCGTGGCCTACCACACTGATTAAATTATCTTCAATTGATTTTGAAATAATGAGCTCAAGCATCATGTCATGGACTTGACAGGCCTACCACACTTTTAAATTACCATCATAGCCAACGTCCACTGGTTGGACCATGCTTTTATTGATTAGCTCATAGAAGTGGTTCTCGGCGACCTCTTGTTTGCTAAGTCCACGCTCTTCAGAGATAAATCCCTCTGCTATCCAGCGTCTCACCAAAGTCTCTCTCTCAATCACATAATCTTCAGGAAATATACTTAGATATATTAAACAGGTCTTCAGATTAGGTGGAAGATCATTGTAGCTAAGGCATAGGATGCTATTCATGCCCTCCAAGCTTCTATTCTTGTCCAACGCAGAACCAATTGACCTTCTGACCTTCTCCCACTCGTCTTTGAGGGATGGTTTGTTTGCCAATAAACTTGAAATACTGATGATTGCTAGTGGTAGGCCTCCACATTTTTTCAATATTTCATTTGAAACTTGTTTTAGCCCTTCCGGGCAACTGTCCTCGGATCCAAATGTTCTCTTGAAAAACAATTTTTTGGAGTGAACATCACTTAGAGCTTCCATTTCATACATGCGGTCATTACCACCGAGACAACATGACCTTGCTACATCAACAATGCGTGTAGTTGCTATAATTCTGCTAGAAAATTTATTCTCTGGGAAAGCACATTTAATAGTGTCCCATGCCGCTATAGACCATATATCATCAATAACGATGAGGTACCTGATAGAAATAAATAAATATTGTTAACCAATTATTGAATGGAGTTAGCCGCAAAAAAATTAAGGAGTGGAGTTTAAGTAGAAATAAAATACATGCATACCATGAGGCTCCAACACGATGCTAAATAATTCAAGTGGCATACATGAAAAAAATAGAACTCAAAGAACATGATAATAAATGAAATTCAATAGAAGAACAATAAACAGACCACGACAATAACAGCATAAACATATCAATTATGTAAAGTGTTTTTACGCGGTGTGTTCGCCGTGTAAGCACGGCGTTTCTTGCCGGGTGATAACTAATAACTATGCTTGAAGCCTAGCTAGATGCTTGCATAGATTATTAAAAATGAGAGAACAAAAAAATTAGTTCACAAACTGATTATGTAGCCATTCTCACATGAAAATATTATGCAACTTGTCATTATATTTTTTTCTATGAATACATACATGTCATTACATTTACCATATACTCGGTATACATGCTACATGGGATCTTGCCGATTGTTCGCCGTGTACTGTTTAGGCAAACATTGCCATAGTTGGGATGTCTTAAAAGTTAAGATGCAAACTTATTTTTGAAAAATTCATATGAAATTGATAGCTATGAATCTTACAAAAATGAGTTTGCACGTCAACTTCTGCGACATTCCCTTCTATGGATGCTCTATGAATATACGGAAATTAAAGGAAAATACAAAAAATTCTAAAATGGCAAAAACAGTTTTGTTAGGTTAATGATATTTAGATTATAGATGAAAAAAATAAAACTGCATGTTATGTTACATGTGTGTGGCTGAAGAACACAAAATCTATACATGATGTTTTATTTATTTAAAATGTTATATATATATATCCAAAAATCATGAACATTTTACAGTAAATCACATCTACCACTAGTTATTTGTGGTAATTGAATACACGAGCTAATATGATAGTGCAGAAAATACAGCTATGTTTTGTCTTGTTTAATACGTTAAAAAAGGTAAAATTGTTAAAACTGAACATTTTGATTTCTCTACAATGTATGACTAGTACACTATTTAGGTAAAATAAAACATAACTATTGTATTAGGAAATATTATAAATAAGTTAGTCTATTACACAAAAAATTTCTGGTTAGACAACTATTATATTTTTGTACATTACGAAAAAGTAATAAAAATAATAAATCCTCCTTTTCTAGAAAAAGGGCTTGAAATTACCTCTTATCTTGTAACAGTTCTCTAAGCTTCCCAATAAATTTCTTTTCATCCCAAATGTCGATATCTTCTATAAAATCTTTCTTGCAAGGCACTTGAGAGATCACATCCTTCATAATTTTCTTTACACTCTGCTGTGAGACAGAGACAAAAGCATGACAATCAAAATGCCCCTGGATCTTGTGACAGACTTCCTTTGCCAATGTCGTCTTTCCCAACCCACCGAACCCAACAATAGATAGCACCCTGCGATGCTTGGCCGAACTATTTTCTTCTTCCATCATCCAAGTGACGAGATGGTCTCTTGGACCATCAATGCCCACAAGATGTGTCTCCTCTACAAAAAGAGCGGACAACCGGGGATCCACGGCTGAATGCTCAAAGGTGCTACGAGCAGTACCGTCCAGCTTGTAACTATTCTTGAGCTCTTTCACCTCCTTGACACGTACCTTCAGGTCATCGATTTGGCTGGCGATTCCACGGCGAGACCTGAGCGTCTTGAGACCACGAATAGTCTTGAGGAATAACTCCTTGAAGCCACTCCGACTTTGGTGGCCGCCATCACCGAGCTGGTGGATGAACTTGTCGATGACATCCTCGGTGTCATAGGCAAGCTCCCTCACCAGCGATATCCATGCTTTCGCCTGGAAATCCGGATCTTGTAACGTGGAGTACTTCTGAACCGCCGCTTGCATGCTGGTTAGCTCAGATTTGAGCGAGCGAATCTCACGGCGGACGCCTTTGAGACGGCCACACTCATCGGCGAGCAGAGCCGTGAGCTTCCCCAGCAGGGGACCCAATGCGCCATGGAAAGCGCTCACCACCTCCATCGACCTCTCTATGCTTTCTTTCTGCAACCCATGTATGGTAATGGTGTCGCACTGTGGCTTGGAGTAGAGTAGAGTATAGTAGAGAGAAGTCCAAGATTCTTTCTGTCTCGTTTGCGTTTTGCAGGCTTGATGAAGCGTAGAGAAGGTGACTAGTTGCCATGTTCGGGCGCCGGCACTTGGTAATAAAGAACTAACGGGTATCGCTCACGATCTGACTTCTTTTTGAACCGCTCACGATCTGACGTTTGTTTTAAAAAACAATTACCAGCTTTCATTTCAAATTGATCGGTGAAGTACTGAAGTGGGACTGTGACCAAAGATGCTCGAATCGAATCAGTGGAGCATGGGCCCCAGTGCACATGCAACGCAGCGAGATATAAAATCGTGAATTCACTGTACCTCTGTTCGTCGGTTTTCTCATAGTGCTCATCCAGGCTCGAGCTTTTGACTCAGGACACGTGCACGTTTTTGTTTTGGTGCGTATTGCCCTCTGTCCCATAAAAAAAGGTCATTCGGGCATTCAAAATTGTCTCCGAAAGAGTGCCGCAAGCCTACTGTGTTAGTCTACAGTGAGGCAGCATCCTTCCGCTAAGTAGGGTCACTGGAAATATAGCTAGTTGCATCCTCGATTCAAAGAAAAGTACTGCACTGAGTATGCAGGTGCAGTGATGAGTTTTCTATTATGGTGCATGTGGCTGTGCTTCCTCCGTCCCATAAAATGGTCGTTGTAGGACCCGTCACTCATACCAAGGTTGATGAATAATGACATACATATACACGATGTGTATTAACCGCTCATTTGTCATATTTACTACAACCACAAAAGACACATGCACAGTAATAGAAAACTCACCGATGCACTACCTTTTCACAAAAAAAACATGCACCTGCATATTCAGCATAGTACTTTTTTTTTTGAGAGCAAGTACAGTAAAGGGATGTAAGTGGGTTGTATGCTCTAATAGAGGAGAGGGAGGAGAAGTGGGCTATGAGCTTATAGCTGGTTTAGATACAAAACCAAGAAACTTTGTGTCAGATATATATGGGCCAGGGGTAACCGCACCGCCCGTATATGTGACCATCACCAGGCTATCGGCCCACGTGCACCTGTCATTGTCCTAAGGACCTTTGACCGCTGCACACGAGAGCCAGATAACTCCGGTAATCTATTGGGTGTCCTCGGAGAACCCCGAATTATCCACATTTTACAACTCATACAGGATCAACCATGGAGTTACCATAACATTACAACATTTGGTAAAAAAATATCTTATATAGGAGTGCGGTAAAACTTATAACATTAGTTTACAAAACATGTTCAGGTAAAAACTTAACTTAAGTTTCAAAAGGTGAGTAGATCTACCGAGGCAACTTAGATGAAGCATCTAAGGTAGATGAGACAGCCAGATCACATCGAGCCCACCGACATGACCTCGATTAGCAGCATAAGTTAGATCCTGCAACATGGGTTAACAATACTTGAGAGTACTCAATAAGTCTTACCCGACTAAAAGAAAAGGCTCCAAGGGCATACAGGCTTAAAGGAAAGTTGGAAGTAAGAACAACTTTTGCAGAAAATCACATTAAGTCATTAGTAGTATCCAGTTTACACCTATTCTACATCAATCACTTCTTTAAGCATCTCATCTCATCTCTTATTCATAACCATAAGTAACCATGTTTTCATTGATTAACTACGATGCAGGGCAGAGGGTCGAGTCTTCTTCTCCGAGAAGCAGCGGTGATTCGAATCGATTTGGCCCAGCTGGGTTTCCTTACCACACGACATATGTAGGTCCCAGACCTACATATATCAACCCTTTCCAAGGATCCTCCAAAACATGAACTGGTCTGCGCTACCCAAGAATACAATACTCCACCTCCCAGCGCCGTCCTAGATGGATTCATAGGATGGGTACACGCTACTCTCGCCATCTCCCACTCCCAGTGCGCAAATTGTCTTTTCACATAACGGAATAGCCAAGGTATTAGGCTTACCGGAGTATGTGGCCAGTACTACAAAGTCTCGACCACATACAAGCCTACAACGAACGGTCCTCAATCGACACAAGCAGGACGAGCACGACCAGGCAAACCTGTCTGCCCAGGAACACTTACCATAACGTCATGTCCCGCCTGGTCTCAATTTAAACATTAACATCATCATGGTATTCTCACAACCCAAAGGTTGAGCCAATAAGAGCAAGGTAAAACCTATTTCCCACGAACGATGAAACCATCATTCAACTTCTATCGAAGTCTAAGCATTGCTAAGCATTAGAGGTATTGACCTACACATACTAGCAGGGTTCTACTAAGGATACCTGAATATCAAGGTAATCATGCAGCAATGGTATACGACCAACTCATAATTACTTAATGCACGTCTCACTAGACTTAAAGTGTAATAAAGATTTATAAATACTAGAGAAGCATTTATGCTCCGGGGCTTGCCTGCGTTGCAGAGAAGGTCAGATTCCACAGAAGATCCAGTAGTTAGACTTGGCACCAACACCACTGGTGGATGGACCTTCTCTGAAACTTGATCAACACGAGTCTTCTCACTCTCGTAGGTACTACATGTAATAAATGATGCTTTGCTTAACATAATGGACTACATGCCATGATGTATGATGAGAACATTCAAGTGCATAACATAAGATAAACAAAGTTAAGAAAGTTGAGTACAACTTTCCTTCACAAAAAACTAGGGTTATTATTATAAAAGGCATTTTCATTATTTAACTAGCAAGTTAATTAGTTGTTATCATGAAAGCAACACTTATTATATTAAACTAGTCAAGCAAGGATTAAAACATGATCTAATCACATGCATCTATTAACTAAATGATTAAGTAAGTCCTTTTAGTTATTTACCAACAAGTTAATTATAAACATATCAAAGAATTATTTAATTTGTCAAGGAACAATAGAGGGTTTGGTGTCCCAAGCTCTATAAACAATACTCAAAATACACCAAAGCCATTTAAGTATTTTCCTAATTCATTTGAGCATTTATTAATTAAAGAAAAGGTATTTAAACGCATTTAAATTAATTAACTAAGTTAGAGTTATCAAAATAGTACCAAAGTTTTTGTGAAGGCAGGTATTAGCACATAACATTTACACAAAAAGTTTCATGATTAAAATATTAATATTTGAGCCTATAAAATCATGGATGGTGCATTTTTTAATTAAAAGAGGTAATTTTTAGTCATACAACATCTATTGATTTTTAGCATTTCATATTTTTCCTAGGTAGAGCATACAAAGATAAGCTTACACAAAATTTTTCATAATTTTATCACACTTCTACAATTTTATATGAATTAAACAAGAATCAACACATTTAATTAATTTCTAAAAATAAAAAATTGTTGAAATTCTTTTCTTACTCACCCTTCAGCCACAGTCACTGACATACGGGGCCAGGGTCAAACCCGACCCTGCCCACCTTGACCATGAGCGCGCCGGCGGGTAAGCCACGGAGCTCGCCGGCGACGAGGTCTCCGGCGATGTGGTCGGCCTCTATGGACTCGTGGTAGCCTCGCACGTCTAACTGCGGTACTAGTTGAACGATTTGGAGTTTGCAGCAAGCTCAGCCGTGGCCATGGAGGCACGAAGGCGCGGCGGCGGACCGGCTACTCTGGCTTGGTAGGGGTTCAGTTAAGAGCTCAGGCGGTACGAGTAGCTCACCACGATGTTGTTGCACTGCTTGATTGAGTCAGAGCCAAAGCGGAGCTATGCTACCGACGTCGGGGCCGAAGACGACAGCGCAAACCAGCGGCGGTGACGTGTTCTGACGCGTCCTGCACGACAGAGGCAAAAACGAAGAGCCAGTGACCATCACTAGGTCAAAAGGAGGTAGAAACACGCGAGAGGAGGACAAGGGAGCAGCTGGAGGAAGCTGGCCCCGATGAGGCGGTCTCCACGGCCATGGCAGACCGGCCGTGGTGAGAATGGTGGGCGCCGCTAGTTCAGGCGATTAGGGCCAACTTGAGCGGGCTCACCAGGTGCGCAAGAGCGCGGCAAAGGTAACTGTGAGGTGGAGCAGGTGGAGGTGAAGCGAGGACAGCGAATTTGGCCGGCGAGGTGAGCTCGGCAGCGGCGGAGCTAAGAGAGGATAAGAGGGAGACGATGGCCGGTGCGGGCTTAAGAAGGCAAAGGCGAGGCTTCTAGGCACGCCAGCACTGTAGCAGCTGTGTGCCCAAACACATGAGGGCGATGCTTGAGGGCAGCGGCAGTGAGACAGGCAGGCTAGCTGCTCGCCAGGAACACTGTAGTAATGCATGACCTGATCTTCATCTGCCATTTTCTTCCAAAGTCATGTAGCAACTTGAAAAACTCCAAAAACAAAAGTTGCTTAGCTCAACGAGATCTTCAACTTTGTTTCAAGGATCAAACCCTAATTCGAACTGGTTGAAGAGTTTTTGATTTTGAAACAAGATTTGAAATATGTTTTTAGGGTTTTAGGAAAATAGTTAATTAGCAACTTTGGCAAATTAATTAGTGATTAGCTAGTTGTCAAACTAATCAACCAATAACACATCTTCTTAGTACAAACTCCATACCAATTCATGGATCAAAAGTTGCACATGTTTTATTCATGTAAATTGATTTAATAAATCCCCAAAAATGGAACTTAATTGTTGTTTGCAGGACTTAGCTAAAAATGCTAAGTGAGGGAAACAACATTCAAATTCAATTCTTGAAGCTCAAATTTAACATGTTTGATTCAAAAACATCATTAATTTTTGATTCTATATAGAGCACACTTTGTACCACAAAGTTTATTTTAACAAAATTTTAATTATTTAAGTAATTTCTCATATACAAAATTCACAAAGAACCTTAATTGATAATGTTGTTAACATTTCATGCAACATATGAAACATATAAATGCCATAATTGAAACATGGAGTACATTTATGCCTTAATGCTTGTTGATTATGCATGATGATGCTCATGATCCAGTTTTAATTGATTCCTAATGTCTAGGA